AAATGCATAATCATGAACTAAGATTGGCAATCAAAATACATGAAATATATTCTTTAAAGACTAGCTGAACACAGTTAACGTGTCAATCCCGTTCTCCATTACTGAACCAACATTACTTATGTGGTATTATATATGACACATGTACATATTTTGATTGGTCAGTATCCAGTTTCTATATGTAAATATGGTTATTTAAAAATGATATGTTAAACTTACAGCAAACAATTCATGCCAAGGAAAGTGAAAAAAAATACAAAGAAAATGAGAAAAACCTTTGTCACAAGCATACACTCATACATACTTTTGTAGCTGCCCTTACCTTTAAGAACAATGGGAATTTACACTCATGCATTCATTAACATGAAATATTGGTTTTCTCAAACCCTTGAACAGAAAAAAGTCAATGTGGTATTACTACATTAATACACATTTATAGTTTTAAATGACAAATTACTACTAATTTCAGGTATAATCTGGTTAAAATTTTCTTTGAAAAAGTCATATCTATACAAATGTCAGTCTGTATAGCAAGATGGCAAATATATCTAAAACAACCAAAACTAGGAGGGCAAAACTGGAAAATACACAATCCTTAAAAAGATGGAGAATATTACATTACAATGTCTAATTCTGAAAGCATTTACAATACAGGATTTGATATCAATATTACACTGAAGGATTTTTTTTCTCTCTACGTGGGAACAGACTAAAGGGACTGTTAATGGATTACAAGAAACCCAGCTGAGAGGGGTAGGGGTGGCAGAGGTATGGGGTACTGGATGCACAAGACATACGGGTTAAAATGTTCATGACTAAAGATTACAAATTGGAAAGAATGATCATCTTTGGTCTGGAGCTGCAACCTGTTGTGGCATCTTTAATTCCACTGTCCTCCACCTGAAACAGAAAGGGCCACGGTGAGACAATCTACAAAGGCCGTGCATGGTCTTTCAAATACATCCACTTTAACTCCTGCTCTCTAACTCAAACAACAAAACGAAAAGAGGTTTAATTTGTAAACAACAATAAAAAAAATAATCCAAGAATTTTAAAAAAACCTATCCACTCTAATATTGGCCAAGTTTCATCATACTGGAAATTTTTCTCCCACTCTTTACCCCCCTTATGCACAATGACATACCCACACCAAACTTTTCAGGGACCAGCCCTAGTCCCTTAACTCCATATATAGACTCCTTGGGTGAAAAGTCAAATAAAGCTGTTGAAATGACTGAACACTATGAAACTGCAAAACTTCCATAAATAAATCAATTAATTTTTAAAAAGTCAAATGAAAAGTAAAAGTAAGACACTTAACATATATATATTCATCCTTCATTTGTATATTTTTCTTTAAAGGAAAAATTTACTTGCATACATTTTACTTGAATCATATAAATGGAGTTTATAAAATGTTATTGCAATTACTGTAATTATTATGTACATATGGGAGAATTCATACTTCCTGATTTATTAAGACATTATTTCCTCTTTAAAGAATCTATGTACTTTCTAATAAAGTAACAGTAAGAAGCTCCAAAATAAAAAAAAAACAAGGGGAACCTGAACATCTGATCAACACCGCCACACAAATTATTCCAATCTTTTTATCATCACTATCATTATCATCATCATCATCATCATCATCATCATCATCATCATCACTATCATCATCATTACCATTACTATTATTACTTATAAGTAATTTTACCTCACTTTTATTGTTATTATTTTGGTGAATGGCAAATGGTTAAAAAAAAATAAATAAACAAGACATCAAAGGTCATATATAGCACTATAGGAAAGCAAAACAGCAAAAAAAGGGGTAAAAATGAGTCGGTGATCAAAACAAATCAATGTGCTCGATGTCAAGGGTAGTAGAGCACTAGAGGATGATGGTCTGGTGGTGAAGAGGGCGACCTGGGAAGCAGACCAGACGGAGCAAGGCTGGGATTAGCAAAAGGCGGGAGGGGGGGGGGAGGGGGGGGGGGAGTTAAGATCGCTTAAATCAAATGGAGGATATCAGTGTCTGAGGAAGAAAATCGAGTTGGCAAGGGAAAATATTATGAATACGAATATTGATAATAAACAAACAAACAAAAAAGTAAAAATAAACAATCTCTAATAATATCCATAATTAAAAACAATAATAACGAATAACGATTACAAAATAATAATCAATAAAACTATAATAATAATGATTAACAACAACAATAATAATCATCAAAAATAATAATAAATACCATTAATATACTAACAACAACACAATAATACAATAATAGTAATGATAATAATGATAAAAGTAACAGATGAGAATGCATAATAATAAAAGAATAAAATAAATAAATAAAATAATAATAATAATAATAAAAACAATAACAATAATAATAAATTTAAAACTCACTCACTATGAATCCAATTTTACATAACACTACGCTAAAATGTTTTAATAATATTTTTAAAAGTAAATAGGATAATCACTGTTTGGAATAAACCTGTGCATAACTTTCCCTCCCTTTTGTATGTTCCCTTTGTATACCTTAATATTTGATCTTAATATTACAGCTAACAACTTTGTAATTATATAAAGTGAACTATCTCAACATTTGTCTTTTTTTTTTTTACAACCTAAAGATTTTGAAAAAATGTAAGAAATATTCAATCTACGAAGGGTAAACTCTAATATTTAGAAGAATAAGCACTGCACCTTTAACTAGGAAAAAGGTATCCCTAAAGTTGAGTCCCTTTTCACAGTAAACTAGATAATATGTAGAAAATAGTTTACTTCCATTCTTGATGCCAAAACTGCCCTGGAGAAGAGTCCCCACCTGTGACAGTGGGTTAAAAATAGTATTGTAATTTATCGTTGTACATTCACAGGATCCCAAATTATATTTGTAACCTGCTTTGATATCTGAACATCATTAAATTGTATAGTTGATAGTTCTTTCAGCATCAAAACACAGTATGACAGTATCAACACAAGTAGAAGATAAACATTATCAGGACTATGCTTTTTGAAATATGAAGAGGCTTTCAATGACATACATTATCAAAACAACCAAAAGTAACAAATTCTGATGAATAGAAAAAGTATTTTGAACTGTCACAAAGCACCACTGATATTTTCAGAATTACTCGACAGTGATAAATCAATGATACTATGATATCCAATAAAGTGTTTGTGTGTGCATGAGTGTTTGTGTGTGCATGAGTGTTTGTGTGTGCATGAGTGTTTGTGTGTGCATGAGTGTTTGTGTGTGCATGAGTGTTTGTGTGTGCATGAGTGTTTGTGTGTGCATGAGTGTTTGTGTGTGCATGAGTGTTTGTGTGTGCATGAGTGTTTGTGTGTGCATGAGTGTTTGTGTGTGCATGAGTGTTTGTGTGTGCATGAGTGTTTGTGTGTGCATGAGTGTTTGTGTGTGCATGAGTGTTTGTGTGTGCATGAGTGTTTGTGTGTGCATGAGTGTTTGTGTGTGCATGAGTGTTTGTGTGTGCATGAGTGTTTGTGTGTGCATGAGTGTTTGTGTGTGCATGAGTGTTTGTGTGTGCATGAGTGTTTGTGTGTGCATGAGTGTTTGTGTGTGCATGAGTGTTTGTGTGTGCATGAGTGTTTGTGTGTGCATGAGTGTTTGTGTGTGCATGAGTGTTTGTGTGTGCATGAGTGTTTGTGTGTGCATGAGTGTTTGTGTGTGCATGAGTGTTTGTGTGTGCATGAGTGTTTGTGTGTGCATGAGTGTTTGTGTGTGCATGAGTGTTTGTGTGTGCATGAGTGTTTGTGTGTGCATGAGTGTTTGTGTGTGCATGAGTGTTTGTGTGTGCATGAGTGTTTGTGTGTGCATGAGTGTTTGTGTGTGCATGAGTGTTTGTGTGTGCATGAGTGTTTGTGTGTGCATGAGTGTTTGTGTGTGCATGAGTGTTTGTGTGTGCATGAGTGTTTGTGTGTGCATGAGTGTTTGTGTGTGCATGAGTGTTTGTGTGTGCATGAGTGTTTGTGTGTGCATGAGTGTTTGTGTGTGCATGAGTGTTTGTGTGTGCATGAGTGTTTGTGTGTGCATGAGTGTTTGTGTGTGCATGAGTGTTTGTGTGTGCATGAGTGTTTGTGTGTGCATGAGTGTTTGTGTGTGCATGAGTGTTTGTGTGTGCATGAGTGTTTGTGTGTGCATGAGTGTTTGTGTGTGCATGAGTGTTTGTGTGTGCATGAGTGTTTGTGTGTGCATGAGTGTTTGTGTGTGCATGAGTGTTTGTGTGTGCATGAGTGTTTGTGTGTGCATGAGTGTTTGTGTGTGCATGAGTGTTTGTGTGTGCATGAGTGTTTGTGTGTGCATGAGTGTTTGTGTGTGCATGAGTGTTTGTGTGTGCATGAGTGTTTGTGTGTGCATGAGTGTTTGTGTGTGCATGAGTGTTTGTGTGTGCATGAGTGTTTGTGTGTGCATGAGTGTTTGTGTGTGCATGAGTGTTTGTGTGTGCATGAGTGTTTGTGTGTGCATGAGTGTTTGTGTGTGCATGAGTGTTTGTGTGTGCATGAGTGTTTGTGTGTGCATGAGTGTTTGTGTGTGCATGAGTGTTTGTGTGTGCATGAGTGTTTGTGTGTGCATGAGTGTTTGTGTGTGCATGAGTGTTTGTGTGTGCATGAGTGTTTGTGTGTGCATGAGTGTTTGTGTGTGCATGAGTGTTAAAGTTAGTAAATATAAAAAGGAGTCAATGTACATATGCCAGTCAGGTAACTGACAAGTCCACAATCCCTCCCAATGTTTCCTAACACAATGAGAAATATGTATGAATGATATAGTTTTCCTAGAAATGAATTACTTCCTGAAAACCTGTGCCAGTATGTAAGCTAATCACATAATATACAGTGGTTTGTATACTCACCTTTCTAAACCATACAAGATGAACCTCCACAAACTAGATTAAAAATCATAAAATATAGCATATCAAATAAAAGATTATGACCAACTTCACAACACTTAATTATTCATGGTTTTATGACGAGTTAGGGTTTGGAGCACGGTGGGTAAGTTAACTCAAATCAATTTTCAGTAGCGACACCAAATGACCCGGAATAGATATGCCAAGGTCAAGACTATGACCTCGATGGTGGCTTATGGTGAGGTGGCGGCAATAATTGCAATACTGGTGGAAATGGAGAGGGAAGTGGCACAGCCCATTCATCATGAGCTTGGCATTCTATTAAGCTGCAACCCTTGGCTTTCCTTTAACTGTGTAGCTTATAGTCGTGCAAAGAGTAGATATATATATATATATATTTCTCATGTATGGAATAATAATATAAAAAAAGGTGTATGTGTATGTATGTATGTGTATGCTTGTCTGTATGTATATATGAATGAATAAATGTATCAACGTGTATATCTGAAAATATTACCTATATGTACGTGTATGTGTGTGCATTTGTGTATGCAAATATGTGTTTGTATATGTGTATGCATGAGTGTGTGCATGAGTGTTTGTGTGTGCATGAGTGTGTGCATGAGTGTTTGTGTGTGCATGAGTGTTTGCATATGCATGTGTGTGTGTGTGTGTGTGTGTGTGTGTGTGTGTGTGTGTGTGTGTGTGTGTGTGTGTGTGTGTGTGTGTGTGTGTGTGTGTGTGTGTGTGTGTGTGTGTGTGTGTGTGTGTGTGTGTGTGTGCATGAGTGTTTGTGTGTGTGTGCATGAGTGTTTGTGTGTGTGTGCATGAGTGTTTGTGTGTGTGTGCATGAGTGTGTGTGTGTGTGTGTGCATGAGTGTGTGTGTGTGTGTGTGCATGAGTGTGTGTGTGTGTGTGTGCATGAGTGTGTGTGTGTGTGTGTGTGCATGAGTGTGTGTGTGTGTGTGTGCATGAGTGTGTGTGTGTGTGTGTGCATGAGTGTGTGTGTGTGTGTGTGCATGAGTGTGTGTGTGTGTGTGTGTGCATGAGTGTGTGTGTGTGTGTGTGTGCATGAGTGTGTGTGTGTGTGTGTGCATGAGTGTGTGTGTGTGTGTGCATGAGTGTGTGTGTGTGTGTGCATGAGTGTGTGTGTGTGTGTGCATGAGTGTGTGTGTGTGTGTGCATGAGTGTGTGTGTGTGTGTGCATGAGTGTGTGTGTGTGTGTGCATGAGTGTTTGTGTGTGTGTGCATGAGTGTGTGTGTGTGTGTGCATGAGTGTGTGTGTGTGTGTGCATGAGTGTTTGTGTGTGTGTGCATGAGTGTTTGTGTGTGTGTGCATGAGTGTTTGTGTGTGTGTGCATGAGTGTTTGTGTGTGCGTGCATGAGTGTTTGTGTGTGCGTGCATGAGTGTTTGTGTGTGCGTGCATGAGTGTTTGTGTGTGCGTGCATGAGTGTTGTGTGTGTGTGCATGAGTGTTTGTGTGTGTGTGCATGAGTGTTTGTGTGTGTGTGTATGAGTGTTTGTGTGTGTGTGCATGAGTGTTTGTGTGTGTGTGCATGAGTGTTTGTGTGTGTGTGCATGAGTGTTTGTGTGTGTGTGCATGAGTGTTTGTGTGTGTGTGCATGAGTGTTTGTGTGTGTGTGCATGAGTGTTTGTGTGTGTGCATGAGTGTTTGTGTGTGTGTGCATGAGTGTTTGTGTGTGTGTGCATGAGTGTTTGTGTGTGTGTGCATGAGTGTTTGTGTGTGTGTGCATGAGTGTTTGTGTGTGTGTGCATGAGTATTTGTGTGTGTGTGCATGAGTATTTGTGTGTGTGTGCATGAGTGTGTGTGTGTGTGTGCATGAGTGTGTGTGTGTGCATGAGTGTGTGTGTGCATGAGTGTTTGTGTGTGTGTGCATGAGTGTTTGTGTGTGCATGAGTGTTTGTGTGTGCATGAGTGTGTGTGCATGAGTGTTTGTGTGTGCATGAGTGTGTGTGCATGAGTGTTGGTGTGTGTACTAGTAAGTTAGTAAGTTAGTAAGTGAGTGAGTGAGTGTATGTTTGCTTATTTATTTATGTATAAACACATACTTATTCATTAACAAAAGGGCATTTTTGGAGAATAATGCATTACAGATGGCCAAGTCTGTTATTCCTTAAGAAAAAAAAATCTATTGCCAGAGCACACACGTGAACAAACCATCAACAATGCTCTAGGGATAAGCCACAGCAAGACAAGTGTGTCTATGCTAAACAGTGAGTGGTCACTACTCATCTACAACTGACAACTGTCAACCTGGCTGGCTCTCAGCTTGTTCCCCATCCCTCGCACGGAGTTACACCAGCTCTCGCCAGTCCTCCACTAGGGAAGTCACTACTGTAATTGGGAAGTTCGCCTACGTGACGCCCGCTGTTTGTCGAATCGCATCTCCATCTCCTCCAACACTCGAGGGGTATACCGGACCACCAACTTGACCGAACCGCTGGCAGCTTTCAGCAACTCCACCGCACGTTCGTGGTTCTCACCCTCGACACTCTGGAATAGAAAATGTATGAGAGATGTGAACATTAACTCCATATCATTTATGTCTCAAAAACTATGACCAAACAACAGAAATATAAATACACTCGATATAAATGAATATGCAAAATCACTTGATATCTATTATGTGGTTACTTTTAGTTATCTGATCTTCACTAATAAAAGGCATCCACACAATACTGCCAGTGCTGCCAGTACTGAAAATTTTATGCTAGTTAGTGTCGAAAAAAACATTTTCTTTTCAAAAATAAATGTTTCCTTACCACTCCATTCACAGACAGGAGCTGGTCACCTCTCTTCAGACCGCCATGGCGATCCGCTACACCACCAGGAATGATGCGGGATATATATATGGGAGAATTCTGTTCTCTGCCTCCCATCACATTAAACCCCAATCCTTCATCGGTCTTGGGAAGCTCTACAACTCTTGGGTGGGCATGGCCCTCACTTGCAGCAAAGGCAGCTACTGTTGCCTAAACATTACAAGTTGATAATGATGTTTAGAACAGTAAGGCAAGTAAAGATTTCTAATAATATAAGTACGAGCAGGTAAGATTATTGTATAATAAAGAACTAATAAAAATTTACAAGAAAAAAATTTCTTAGACTTGTAAATGACAAAACTAATTCAAAATGGATAAGAAAAAGAAGAAAAAAAAAATATATATATCAAATATTGGCCAGCTATACCATAAAGAGAGACACAAATGCTGACTTACTTTTGCCGTTGCTGATGCACGGATTTCAGGCGAGCCCGAGATGTCTACAGTCTCATAAACATGCTCATATACTTCTCGAACGGCCGTTAGAAATTCCGACTGAAGAACACGCTGTAGTGCTGCCAATTTGGCCGATGGGACCTCTCCAGCTGTGAAGTTTAAGGTCATTATTAGTAACTGAGCTTGAATTTTCTTGACAGTAGCTATGGATGTTAGAGGACACTTACATATGTATTAGAGTAAGAAAATGTCCCTTACGAGAAAAATATTTTAAATAAAAAATCATTTGTATATGTATATGCATATACATATACATATATACATATGAAAATATATTTACATATATAATCCTATAATTATATATACATATACATATATATACATATACAAACATGTAATCATATATACATATACATATATATATACATATAATTATATATACACATATACATATATATATATACATATAATTATATATACACATCATCATAATACAAATAAACATAATATATACATATAATTATATATACACATCATCATAATACAAATAAACATAATATATACATATATATATATATATATATATATATATATATATATATATATATATATATATATATATATATATATATATATATATATATATATATATATATATACATATATATATATATATATATATATATATATATATATAAATATACATACATATATATATAAATATACATACATATATATATAAATATACATACATATATATATAAATATACATACACATATATAATTTATATATATAAATATATATTTATCAAACATACAACTAGATAAATAAATTGTGAGTTCTATATCTAAAAATGAGAGAAAAAGAAAGAAAGAAAGAAAGAAAGAAAGAAAGAAAGGATGCAAATTAATTATCAAATGGTATTCTTTTTTAATTAGATAGTGGTTACAATTTTACATCAAACGAAGTGCACATAATCTGCAATGTATACCTCACAATTTCATGGCCTTGAAAAAACAATTATCTTTAGGATAAGAGCTTTTCTATGATTATTGATGGTGGTGGTGGTGGTGATGGTGGTGGTGGTGGTGATGGTGGTGATGATGGTGGTGATGATGGTGGTGATGATGGTGGTGATGATGGTGGTGATGATGGTGGTGATGATGGTGGTGATGATGGTGGTGATGATGGTGGTGATGATGGTGGTGATGATGGTGGTGATGATGGTGGTGATGATGGTGGTGATGATGGTGGTGATGATGACTGATGGCAATAATAGTGGAGATGGTGATGATAATGCTGACAATGATAGTGGTGATGATGATGATGATGATGATGATGATAATAATAATAAATTTCAGTGTCCCAATTCACTCAAGATAAAAGATCAACTTTTAAAGCTTCTCTACAGTCCATTAAAACTAGCCCTAAACTTCTACACTACATTCAAGTCTTTACTGCCAGCCTACATAATAGCAGGCCTTAAGGATACACATCTGGCATGCACATCACACTTACTTTTCTGAAGCTTATCCAAGAGTTCCACAGCCCTTTTGACATCTGCAAAGAGGAAGTGCAAAGTATAGTGCAAAGATCAGAGGTTACCCTTGAAAAACAAACGGTCAAAATCAATAACAATAATTATCATTATTATTATAATATATCCTCTCGATCATGTGGATACAGTAAGTTGGGGAAAAAAAAGAAAATAATAAAAAACATGGAAGAAATTACAATAAATAAATAAATAAATAAATAAATAAATAAATAAACAATCTGAATAAATGGCACATATGACTCCTATAGGACAAAGTTCACAACTTCAGGTGAACTCAGTAAAGGTCCTACTTAATAAAAAATCATATCAGCTTGAATTGTTATGACCTTGATATTGAAAGTATGGATAATTTGGACACTTCTTTTTTGTTTTTCTTGGGGGAGGGGGGGAGGGGGGGAATTATCACCAAAAACCTTCAGGGGAATTCAACTCCTCTAAACAATACAAATGAAGCCTACTTTGAGTTAACTGGCCGATCATAAGCAAGAACAGTTTCAATGAAGCCAAATGGACAGAAATTGTGAGATGTGATTGTTCAAAGCAATTTTGGAGCAGCTGCCTGATACGGTGCCACTATCACATTAAAACAAGAGTGTATGCTGTCCAGAGTTATGTGGATTTGAATATAACATTAGTAATTTAATAATGAAAATAATTTCTCTTTCTCAAAAGTGACTGTGGGGGCCTTATCAACTTTATCTAGATTGCTAAGATTAAGTTGGATAATTCTAAGCTCTTTATCAGTTAACCCATTCGCCCCGGAATTATGTTCTGTCCTCTGTAGTTTTTGATGAATTTTGTTACATACAGATGGCTCCACATGTACTCAGCCGGCAAGGAGTCTACCAGTAGGCCCTAGTTACCGACCCTGATTCTCCCATTCATTAAACTGGCAGGAAAAATAATACCATTGCTATCGATACTGTTATTATTGTTATTGACGTTATGATTATTAAATTGTCATTAGAATATTTTAGACAATGAAATGATACAAAAAAACTTTTCCTAAAGTGAAGGAAAAGGGTAAACAGGTGAATTAGGTAGTTATTGATAACTGGCTATTTGGTGATTAAGAACTTGTGGAGCCATCTATGTGTAAATACAATAAATAAACGTGTCTCAAAGTGGGTACGGCATCTAATCTTGCCACATGTGGCAAATGGGTTAAGCACAATCACCATACAGGTGGTTCTTTTGAAATCTAATTCTAAAATTATTATTCTGCAAGAAAATAAAAGCCCAAAAACAGAAAAGGTCCATATTTTCAATTAGCTAACTACAATTAACTGTCAAATGAGGGTAATTCTTACATTTCTAACTGCCACCCGAACTTGTAATTATTATTTTTTGTAACAATTATTCATGGTGTAATATGCATGAAATTCCAGTTTTCCACCACAAATGAACATTTCAAGATATAAGCGAAAGTACCAATAACTATTTTTGAAATATCTCCAGTCCTGTGAGACGAAGTGCTAACAACCTTAGGGACAAAGTATAATTCCCCTTTCCCGATGCAATATAATACAAGTTAAACTTCATTTGTAATTGCCAGAATGACAATTTCAGACCAAAAATGAACCAAAACCTTCCAAAACTGAACTGACCATTGCATTTCCCTGCCGAGGTCTCCTTCCCCGATCCCCTGCCTAATAGCCGTAGTCTTTGTCTCCGCACGCAATTCATTACAGCCTATTTTCTTTGTGATACCATTCTTTGAGTGTACAGATTATTTCATGTACCAGTGAGCACATTTTTTTTCCATCTCCTTATAACAGTGTCATTAGCTTTTCCCAATCCTAGTGCTGTCATTATGTAAATGTACACCGCATAAGTGTTTCAGTTTTGCACACCCATTCAACCAGGCAATTATCATTTCTTTACAATTATTCATGGTGTCATAAGCTTGATCTGTTATTTTACCATTGTAAAAGACAAATGCGAAATTAACAGGAGTGTTACGAAGTGACCACACCCACCGGGACGAAGACCCTATTCCTCCAGCCGCTCATGGGAATCAACAAACATCCTTTGTACGAACCAATAAAAACCTTCCAAACCCCAGGATCATTGTTGCCAGCCCCCCCCCCCACCCCCCTATCACTATACATCCAAGCAACTTACTCTTTCTGCACAGCACTCCTTACATCCTATTTTTCTTAAATATCTGACTAAATACTTGTCTTGGGAGAGTATTTCCTTAATTATCACTAGATTTTCTCAGCAAATACATACCAAAATATTACGTAAAACCCAACTTTCTAATGAGTAAATGAGGAAGGAAATCCCATAGACGAATAGCATTTTATTTCCCATTATTTTGTTGTCTTTGCCTCGTGTCATATGGCTCTGTATGACACTGGAATTAAATGTTTTTTAACTAAACCTTACTTTAACTTACTTTACTTTACTTTAGCATTTACATTTAGCTTCTGGGCGACTCTTATTAATAATCAATGAGGAGAGAGACGTTCCCCTGACGTAAATCCTGATCAATATGCGTTTAAAGACATTCGATTCCGATGGCCTCCATATCCATAGATAATACGATAGAGTGATAAAAATATAAAACACTTTCGTCTGATGAGAGAGAAACAAAAACAAAAACAAGACGGGATAAAGGTACCGCCTCCTTCCCAAATCACAGGTGACAGGTGTGCCAAAATGACGCACATTTCGACCCCCTTCCTCGTGTACGGACTCAAGCACACCTTAAATATCTCCACGCACGATGCCACAATCAAGCAGGCGCCCAAGAGAAGCCCCAAAAGGCGAAAATTTACCTTGCTGGAGAGTGAGAGGTTCTGCCACGGACGCCATCTTTGCTCT